CCCCCCCCCCCCCCGAACCAGGAGCATCAGGCCTCTCTGCGCAGGTGCAGGTGACTGCACAAAGCACAGGTCACCTGCGGGGAGTTAATTCCCTCGTTGGCCACAGCAGTCATTGCAGTAGGTGACTTGATCTCCTTTATTGTAAAGGAAGACTCCCAAAGTCATCAGGCACCTTTGCAAGACACACGCAGGCTGCACGTATTGCCCATTTCTTCTCTTTTATTCCATCGCCATCGCCCAAAGAAATTAGACTTTCTCCCCTCAGCACTTAAATATAATTCTCAATGGCCCTTCTTTTCAGGCCTCTTAAAAGCATTTTCTGTGGACCACAGGGGGTCCAAATTCCCCGTATTCTCCAGCAGTGACCCACATTGACACAAAGGAGGCCAGATAACTAATAATGGAAGCACCCATCCATGCAGAGCATCTCCTGTGAGGAGTTGCTACAATCCTAACAGGAACTCCTTGAGGGGCTTGCTGCTCTATCTCTTTAAAGACCCTCTCATCTAGTCCCTGGAGAAGGGACGAGCCCCCGGTCAGCACCACATTCCCATAGAGATGGTGGCAAATATCCCGATCACACTTCTTAATGCTGTTGGAAATCATGGTGTGAATCCCCGGTGTATCAATGCCAAGGGTGATGGGCATGAAAAGGATTTCTGGTGCTCTGCAAAGATGAAGACCAATTCTGACAGTATTTCCATCCGGGAGTTTATAATCTCGCAGGACTTCCTCTGGCCTTCTCTTCATTTCTTGACTCCAGTCCAAAGCTACATAGCAAAACTTCTCCTTGATGTCCTTTGCAACATTTCTTTTGCCCCTGCTCAGGAAGAAATGGCCATCTGCTGACAGGAGCCGCACAAGGTATTCGGTGATATCTCTGCCCGCGACATTCAGCCTGGAAGCAGCGTGGGGTAAGCAGTGCCCTTCATAGATGGGGACTGTGTGGGTAACTCCATCCCCGCTGTCCATTACCAATCCCGTAGTACGGGCGGACGCGTACAGTGCCAGTGTAGCCTGGACGGACAGATACAGAGCCGGTACCTCAAAACGCTCAAACAACAATTCGGTCATTTTCTCTCGATTCTGAAGCGGGTTCATCGGCGGCTCCGTCATTACAACTGGCCTTTCGCTGGCATTTATCCCCAGCTCCTGCTTATAGATGTGTCTCCAGAGTTTCTCCATGTCATCCCAAGAGGTCACTATGCCACGCTCAATGGGATACTTCAACAATAGGCCAGCCTGTTTGGATAAGGCTCCTTCTCCAATGCAGTAGTCCTGGCCAGCTCCAGCCACTTTTGCTTTAGGATGACCAATCACTGAAGTGACAACTGACCTTGGCGTAGGCTCTCCTGCGACACCAGCTTTACACGACCCGGATCCATTGTCAAAAATCACAGCGGGGGTTTGTAAGACTCTCGAATCAGACATTGCACCGGGAACAAAAGGATGAAGCTGCTAAGAAGGGGGTTCAGTTATTTCTTTTTCTTCCTTGAAACTTAGAAGCCAGAATCCTGGAGACGAATTCTAGACCCCTGAGGTCACAAAATAAGAGCAGAAGCAACAGTGCTTGGCACGCTGATGGCGCTTTCTATTCAAGGATTTTGACGATCTGTCCAAAGGTGGCAAAATGTTATCCTCTCCACTTTACAGATGGAAAAACAAGGCACAGAGAAGATAAGTGACTTCCCTGAGATCACTTTTGGTGCCAGTGGCTAGTCCTGAGATAAGCCCCAGATATCACAATTTCCACTCCTCTGCTCTAGCTATGAGACGACGTGCCCTTCCCTAACTAGGATCAGAAACTTGCTTGAGCAGAAGACAGGGGCTTGATGCAAGAATCCCCGGATTATCGTCTCTGGTCTATTTGATGCAGGAAGGCACAGCAGATGGTCATTGGCCTCTTCTAACTAAATCTTTATTAAACTGAGTCATGACCTACAGGCTCCTGCACAATTAGCCTGTGCTGCTTCCAAGCTGACCCATAAAGAAAATATTGCCAGTCTGTTCACACACTGTAGCTATCTCCAGTTTTATGTTGCTCTCTTCTTTTGCCCATTAAGGGCCTTCATCCAAGCAAAGGTGCCCCAGGCAACAAAGCCATATCTACAGTAAATCAAAGCCATGGTAAGAAAATCCTCATAGCATCACTGAGATTCAGTGAGAGAACCCAGAAGTATACATTTATACAGATGTGGCGGACTTACCAACACAGCCTGACTCGAAGGTCCCAAACCCTGGGAGCAGCGCCAGGCTGCTCAGGTTTGCAACCCCACCCTGGCGGGAGGCCGGGCACCCGGGAGGCACCAGTGGGGTTCAGCAGAGGTCTGGGGTCCCATATGAGACAGCCCAAACCCCAGCGGAGGGCAGAGGGCAAGGCCTGGGTATCGGGACCTGCACAAGGTGGCCCGAGCCCCAATGATGGACAGAAGGCAAGGCCCTGGGCAGCCCCGACAAGGCACCCGCGGCTCCGGGAGCCTTCCCACCCTGCTCCCCAAATCTGTGAGTACCTGGGGAATGGGTCCCCACAGGTGAGGAAGCCCTGAAAGGGGAGTCCCCAGGGGTCAGGGACCAGGTGGGCCCATCTGGGGCTGAGGAGGTACTGGGACCCTCCTCCCCCAGGAGGGTGCCGGGGTTTGGCACCCTAGGGAAATGCCCAATAGTCTCAGCCACATGGGTACCTGTGGGGCGGGGAAGACTTGCACCTCCCATTTTGTAAATAGATAGATATAGATATGCATATATTGTTATCCTCCAATGTGACCTGGGTTATGTCAGCAAGGTGAGGTTTATTTGCATCTAATTGTTGTTATTGTTCTTGCCTGAACTTACCTGTTGATACCCGTGTTCATCTGCCTAGCTATATGCACCTGTGGCTGTTGCACGTATTTACCCATGCTTTCTTATAAATCTGTAAGTATCTGTATCAGTTGTATATTAATAGTTATATTTTTAAAGGCCCCTGTAAACATTCATAAATTTGTATATAGTTAAGCTATTCCCGGTCCTATAGGGAATAGAGGAACTGGCCAGGCCTTTACAGATCTCTCTCACAGCACTTCTGCCTAGCCACCTCTCTCTTCTATTTGGAGGGGGGAGCACGTAGTTGGGTGCGCCCAGGTTACACAGAGAAGTCCACTTGAACTTATTGGTCTATAATTGCACTCAGCTGCGGGCATGGGGCAACTGCCCCTGAGAACATGACTGACCAACTCCACCCCATGCTGGTTTTATCTCCCTGCAGCATCTGACCTCAGGCCTGCAAAATGCTGCTCATGGCAAGTTTAGGGCTTTGGAGGCATAGGACTCTTTGGAGGACTGAGACCTCGGTTTAAATATTTAGAGCCACGTAGGCGTTGAGGCCCTCGGGTATGCAAGTTGTAGTTCTCTGCCACTGCCAGGGAATCTGCTGTTCCAAGGGCAATTCACTACTGAAATGCTTACCGGTTTTTTGGTCGTGTCATAGATTTGCCATGTTTGCACAAGTGTTTCTTGATTTGACTCATAATTGTCCCTTGCATGAGAACAAAACCATTTCAAGCTTCATTGGAAAAACCAGAGGGAGATTATAGGATTTAGAATGAGTTGTGGGGAAGGCAGGTGAACATTACACAGACATGCTTGCTAGAAGGAAAAAGGACAATGTTAGCGAGGAAGGATAGTCTGGGGCATATCCTCTGTGGGAGTGAATAGTCCCTGTGGTCCATGCGATTTAACCCTTTGAAAGTTAACCCCAGGGTAAATTACAACCAGGGTGCTATGACACCCTGTGATGCTGTGAAATCCTATGAAGGGTGCTCCTTAATATTAGCTCTGTTAGGTGTGCAAAAACCTACACATAATGCACTTGATAAACTCGAAAATTTCAGACAGAAATCCATCGTGTCCAAAACATTCTGACTTGCTGTGGTCTTTCTGAGTGCTTTGCAACAGAAGAACTGCTCTATTTATTTCCATAATCAAAAAAACAAAGTGAAAAGTAAGAGCTGGCATTCTCCAGTGGGTCTAAGAAGTGAAGCCTTGAGATGAAAAAGGTTTAGAGCCGCTGATCTACCCCCTTCCCTTTTAGTTGTATGTAAAACTATTAAAACACACCAAGCAGCAAACATTGTCAGTGCCCCGGGTTGTGCACTTGTGCATTCAGAGCCTCTTTCCAGTAGATGCTGGTTTTTATAAGACTTTGACAAGGCCTAGCATGAAAAAAATCCACCGTCCCAATGGCTCAGCTTTCAGGGCAGAGCTATTTTATTTAAAACTTCCTCTGCAACCCACACCCTTGCCTTGGTGCCTGAGAAACAGGAAGTGAAACTGCTGACAACTTCTGCTTCTTTACCAAAGAAAAGGGGGTTTTGTGTCGTGAATCTTGCTTCTGCTTGAGCCTTTAAATCCAAAAAATTGTCAACAATTCATTGAAGGAGCTAAAAGTCAGTAGAAAGCTCATTGATGTCCTTGTTGCAGTGCATGGTACATGTTTCATAATTTATTTTCTCCCATCCACTTGCTCTTAGCAGGTTCCTAAATAGAGCGAACAGTTTGCAACAGCACTTCAGGGGCACTTGTGGTACTTGGCAGAGCTCTTTGCCAATCCACTGAGGACCAGCGTTGCCCCACTGTTCCCATCCATCACGTGAATCCTTAGCACAGCATTTCATTGCAAAACCATAAAACACGTAGACCTGCTCATTACTAAGTCGGTCAGTACCTCCAATGGCTTATTGTGTTCACCTTTCAATATATTTTCCAGCTTGCAAGTTCTGAATCTGTTGACTACCGAGCACTGCATATTACCGTCTAAGTAGACACGGGGTAGGAGAAACTGAGACACAGAGGGTGCATCTAGACATGTGGTTTAATGCACATTAGCCTATTTTAATACATATGAAAACCTCATAGAAAAACCCATGCACTGTCACTAATGCACATTAAAATAGGCTAATGCACCTTTTTATAGTACCTGACAATGGAGGTACTAAGTTGAATACGCATTAGCAAACGCACATTAATGAACATGTGGACATGCCCAGAGAGACTAAGATCTTGCTTCAGCATAGCAAAGCTCTAGGATAACCTGTTGAGCTTTGAACTCAGGCCCACGTCCCACTGGATTTGGGACTGTTCAAACTCATCTCCACATAAGCCTCTGCTTCTAGGCCCTCCGGCAGAGGAAAATCCATTTCTGCTGACAGCAGAAGTGTCCAGCCTTTCCACAAGCCGCAGAACTAGGATAGTTTTGTGAGTAAAGCTGCTGTCGTGGCTGCATGTTTCACGGAGAAATGTTTCTTGTCTGAGTGGGCACAGGATAGGGTGGGAGAGCGGATATTAGCTGGAAGATGCTTAGGGGTTGCTCTTTTATTTATATCCTATCAAGAGGGTGGATTTGATCAGTGCTCACCATCCCAGCCCAGGGATTATTTTCTGCGTGTCGGTGTGTGTTCTTTGCCACTTGGAGCCCCCTGGCAAGATGACTCATTACAGACAAATCCATGTATTAGCAATTACCATTTGGGCTATGATCCTCAGTCCCTCAGCTCTTGTGTCTTACCTCTGCTGATGCTACAAGCCAATTGACCTCCTCTGCTCCCTAGATGTGCTTAGCTAATAGTATCCAATTTGCCAAGGCCAGTGGAAAACTTCTGAGCTGACATACAGCGTCTGAAGTCTCCTAATGCTAATTCTGGCCTTTGATTACTTCCCCCGCTCTGGAACGAAGGCTGCGGCGCAGACAAGTGGGACTTAAATGGAAGTAACTTTGGGCTGCTGTACTCGGTCCTCACGCCCAGCTGGAAAACAACACGTCTGCTCCAGAGGACATTCTGAAGCGGGGACATTTGTAGTGGGAGTTGCAAAGCAACGGCAAACTATTGCATTATTTTTATTACACAGAAATCCCACCCCCAAATACCAGTCTCTGATCATGACAAGGTTCCACGGCAGCCCCATCAAAATACAAATCAGATCAAACCTAGCGCGGAAATACAGAAGAATAACATTAAAATTGAAAAAAACCAACCCCCCCCCGAAATTAAACAATAAAGCCTAAATGAAGTGCATCTACCATCTCAAAACAAAACTTTCTGACGCTGTCACAATGAAGTGAGAAAGCTGAAGCAATCCTTCCATCAAAGCTGACACCGAACTGCAAAGAGTTTGGATTTTGATGAAATTGCATTTTCCAACAGAAAACGAGCAACTTTTTCTCTAACCCCTGCTGCACGTCATGCCTATAGGCACCTGGCTACCCACGAACACCTTGCTCTGCTTTAAGGGACACCTCTGCGGAGGCTTTTCTTCAGCCACCTGCCCTGCAGTCAGGCACCTTGTGCATCACATGCTCTGAAGCTTTCCCTGCATCAGGGCTTGTTGGCAAACATTTCCCATCGGCGCCGTTCCATTAGTGCTGGCAGTGGTGGGACAGAAGAGGTCGTGAGACTGCCTTGAGCAGCGCTAGAGGAGGTGGTGGCATGGGAGCTGCTCTCCTATCAGTCACCAGTGGAGCAGCACTGGTGGCAGTGCCGGCAACTGTCTTTTGCATTCATCCCTGAATGGAGACAAGACCTAGCTCTGAATATTCATGGAGTAAACAAGCTCCTGATTTGTTTGATAGGGGAGTGCAATGGTTAGTGAGCCATGGGATACACTGCATGTAGGTTGGCCCTGCCTTTTTGTTACACAGCGGTGTGCCAGGTTAAAAAATGCCACCGCTGAGGAGCAGTGATTTTTTTTCCCCCCCTTCAATATCCTGGGCATGCAGCAGCAGCGATGGAGCTAGGGTGCTGGAAGGGTGTGATGTGTGAGGAAGGAGAGGGTTAGTTTCCAAACTCCCAATTTAGAAAACTCTGTCACTAAGTGAGTAGAAATAATAGGCAGACCTGTCTCAGCAGTCTCACCCAGAGGACCCCAGGAATGGCAGGGAAGGGCATTTTTCATGTTTATGGGTGTTGCATCTTTTCATTTCCTCTCCGTCAGCATTGCCAAGGCTCTGGAGTCAGACACCTTTTTCTCGGCGTCCTCACCGATCAGCAGCTCTGGTAACGCTGATGGAGGGAGACAGAAGACTATTTCCATGCTTATTGGAAAGATCTCCATCAAAAAAATCTGCGTGTATCCTTTCCACTGACTCTGTCCAGAAAGCATGCACGTCCCACACCAGCAGCTGTGAAATCGCTGCTGTTGGAGCACATGTAGCCTCGACAGTTCAGGATTTCTTCTGCCCATATGCAAGTGGCTCACACGGCAAGGGCCTTGCATGTTCTTAGCTGTACGGCAGGCTCCCTGCACCTAGCACAAAGG